TTTAATGCTTGGACAATGCAATGCTGAAAGTATTTTTTCATTGATATTGTCTTTGTCTTTGCGTGATTTGTTAAGTCAAATGCTTTTATAATGCTTCCTATACAAACTTTCCAGTGCCGCCTTTTCCTTATGTTTACTTATTCATCGTAAAGTCATGTTAATATGATATGTAGCTTCGTACATCAGTTCCACCAAAAGAAAATTTTCGTTTCATTTTATTGTCATTCCGTAAAATGTATTATTTATATGCGTTTTGTCAGTAAGAGGGTGTACACGGCACAAAATGAGTATGAATGTAGTTTACTGGTATTTTTTTACTTGTTTTGTTATTTGGAGAATAAACAATAAAAGGAGCAAGAAGATTTTTTTCTGTAAATTTACTTGCTTTTCAAATAAGAAATTAATTTACATTTTTGTACCATTGTGTTCCGTGCTATCGTAGCCCTACCTACTTCGTTCAGTTGTAATCAACGTCAGGGAACTGCTGTTGTCAACCTTATTTACACACTTTGTTTGAGTCGAAATACGGATAAGTCGAAATATTTTCTGCTGTCCCTTGAATTTTGAGATAACGAGTTTCGACTTTACATCATACGATGTAATAAATAAGAAAACTTTTTCATATGTCATGAGTTTAACGTCCTCAGCTTAGTCATATTGAGGACGGGTGTCAACGGGGACGTCAGGAGTGCAACAGAAAGCACAAACTATAGAACGAAGTAGGAAATTTAAAAAATCCTATTGTCGCAATGGGGGCTTTGGAAAAAGTAGAAAACATCTTATTCTGCCTGGGACAACTTTTAGCAGCCGCCTACAAACAGACAGAGGAATACAGAAGATCGTATTCCTTGGCTCTTTGATATCTCCTTAACAGAAGGGAAAACCAACCCCAACCTACAGGGACTAGTCCACATTAGTCGCCTCTTACGACACGCAGTGAGATACAGCAGGACTTTTCTTTCTCGTGTCCAGCAAGGAGTATCATACCAAAGTGAAAAAAATTACTAGATTAATTATCATGAGAAATCAATGATCTTATAGAAGTGTATTACATATAATAATGAAAAAGTTAAAAATACAATTTTTATAATTTGAAAGTAACGCGTTTGTGGGGGATATTAAATTGGGCTTCGTGTGTCCATCCATGCAAGGTCACTAGTACTAAAAGTAGTGCCTTCTGCTATGGGAAAGGCCACCATTTCAATACTTTTTTCGGTAACCATGGAAACAGATAGGCCGAATCATAAATTTCAGATTTTATGGACCAGTGCTCTGAAACTGTTCCTTAATATAAACATGTTTTTTATATGTGTCTTTCTATAATCGACAGTGTGGTGGAAGCAAAATGGCGTTTTTTTTTTCATTTTCAACATCTTATACAAATACACTACTAATCACGCTTAATGAACTTAATTGAATATAACATCTTCACGATTCGCCATTTTCATGATGTTGGTAAATTCGTTCATGAAATAATAAATGGTTGGTTACTATCAGTCTATACAGTTCCGGTGATATCAAAGCTTACATCGCTTTGAGATACGTAACGCCCACTGTAGAACCAACTGCGGCTATAAGACGCCACTATATCGGCATCTTGAGGTTTAAATGTTAAAGAGCTTCTTCCTTTGGTGATGTTACAGAGGGCTTAATTTCAATGCCTCCACACCAGGAATCGAATCTAACCCGGGACTCCTAAAGGGAGCTAAAGAGAAGTTCTCTTTAGCCGAGCGATATTTTGCGCTCCGTATTTTACCAGGGTTACACACTCCCTCTCTAGGATATAACTCGTCCTCGAGTGTCCAGAGGTCACAGCGGTACTTGTGAAAGTAACGCTGTTGGGCAATGGCTAAATACTATTTCCGGGTCCCTACATGGGCACCAATGTAGCAGAGGTCATTATTAGTTTCAGCGCCTCCGCTAGGAATCGAACCAGGAACCCCTGGCACACTAGTCTGATATTCCATCGATCGAGCTCTTCTCTCTAGCCGAGCAGTATTTTTTCGGCAAGTATTTTACCAGGGTTACAGTGATAAAGTCATTTCTTTAACTTTTACTAGAGATCTACAATGTAGTTAAATTATACACGATTTCTCTTCATTATTGTTGGTCTACCAAAATATTTCATTGACCGGTAGAAATTATCTATCAATACATTTGTAAATACATATAAGGCGTAATACACATACCATATATACAATTACATACACGTATAACATATATTATGACCAATTAATCATGCAAGGCCTATCGATATATATATATATACACTGATATATATATATATTTTATTATCATAATTTTCAGATGTCACGAAATCACACAATATCAAACATAAAAATGTCACAAAGGTACATTCAGTAACGAAAATCAATTTACTTGCAATCCATTGCTTAACAGGCTTGCAGAAAAAAATCTTTGATGGAAGAAAAATCAGAAATAGCCAGGGCATTATTTACTGAAAAAATTTCTAAATGTACAAGTATCTAAATTCAATTCAGTTCAAATTTTATTCCGAGGGCCTTACGGCCCATTGGTATACAATTACATACATGAATATACAATTATGTATACTGTTAATTGGAGAGTGATCTCTCGTACATACACGTACTGTAGTACATAATCACGTGGAAAACATCTAGTAACACATACATAACACTCACGCACAAAACAAAAACACCCTCACTCACGGCCAAAATGGTACTTTACATAGATATAAAATATCACCAGAGATGCTTCGCATAATAGTTCAGTGATATCTAGAAATATTTTGTCTATATATATTTGTTGCGAGTATTTTGTTTGTTTTACTAGTTGCGAGTGTATGATGGTTTGTCTGTGTGTGTAGTGGTATGAGTCGTCCTCATAACGTATATCATCATACGAAGTTGGTGCCAATGGACAATTTAGTAAATCAATAATACTTTAAAAAAAAAACTTTCTACAAAAAACTTTTTAAAGTGCATATACACTCTGGAATGTAATAACTCGGTCAAGAAAGCAATAACATTATGACAACCCATACATTTTGTCACATCATACTAACAGCAAGCTATTGAGGCGTTACCGCTGAACTAACTGTTAAGCAGAAAGCACGAAATCGATTTGTCTTGGTCCAGGGACAATCGATAACCTTATCGGGTGTGGACACTTAACAAAAGGTTAATTGCGAGCTTTTGCCACGTGAAACATTATGATTGATTTTAATTTATATTGTAACGCTTCTTATCAACAACTATGATAATTTAAGAATGACATCCCGATATATGCGTGGGGAATGGATGTATCGAGTGCATTTGTTTTCGGGAGGTTGTGGAATGTTCGTCTCCCGAAGATTGCTCGGGAGCTGATGCCGACTTTGTAGATCTATACAACTAAAATATATTGAAGACACATAGCAGTCCACATTCAGTGACAGTGACATTCTGACAACGGGCAAACAGACTGTTTCTCTAACACAATGCCCGTTATACATGTAGTTATGACTACGTTTGTTTAAGACTTAGATGTGTCACTATCACGGAACAGAACCCGAAATCAGCCTCGCTTTGGTGAACGCTCAACTAAAGGCTTTATTTATTAAAGGAGAGGGAGGGTCGAGGAAGATGTCAAGGAATATGTCAAGGAATAGCTAGTTGTTAGTCCTTAAAAGAAGACAACAGCACAGACATTAGGAAGGAGAATAAATCATGTAAGCGTATATATTTTAGCGGTAAAAATCTGTCAAAATTTGATTATTCCAAATTAAGTTCGTTTGCAGTAAGTGTCCCAGATTTCGTCGCCTCATATAACCAAACATCCGATACACCTGGTAGAATCTTACGCCGTACCTATAGGACTTGTGATATGTGTGAAACATAGTGTTTTCTGAAGGAAAGATAATGCGGGTGAAATTATGGTTATAGATAACCAATCATTATTAATAATTTATACATGAAAGTGTGATGTCTCCTGTATTTTAATCGAATACATTTCGTAAGTTATTTAAGTCCATCAACAGTGTCTACCATCTGCTATCTTAAAGATACAATAGACACACACGTGAATAAGACAATTTCATAATTTAGAGTGAGATACAGTAGAGCTAAATAATGAATTAAACTGCATCATACAGCTGTTTCGTCCTTCTAGGAATCGTCAGTGATGTTAAGGGCCTAAATTTTGAACCCCAACTAAGGAAAAATCCAAAGTGATCAAAAGAAAAGTAAAAAAAAAAAAAAAAAAGAAAAGACGGCGAGGTGTAGCAGCCCCATAATTTGGACAAATTTCGTAATTTTCATACAACAGATAATTTTAGAATAGCGTCAAATACATGTGTAGTTTCTGAGCCGTGCTACTGTTCGTGTGAATTTAAACATGGCAAAAGGTCACGACAAATCTCGGGAACTTAAACCCCACCAGAAGTGTCTACCACCTGCTGTCTTTGTACAAGACACACAAATGTATAGCACCTTTTCATAATTTAGAGTGAGATACATTAAAGTCAAACAATGGAATGCAGATATGAATTCCAGTCCGTAGACATAAACACACAATCAACTTGAAATGGAAATCCCCATTCCCGCTCCCTAACCCTCCGCTTATGGTACCAGCATGGAGTGGAATTTAGACGACCTGATGGCAAATCTGAATGTTTTGTGAAAATACTATGTTTAAATTTATGCTTATTTATTCGAAGGTTTATATAATGTGAAACTACATATTCACTGCATAAGTGAACGCATACACACAGGTCGGTAAAGCCAAAGCAGCATCAATGAAAGGTGCGCCAAAAGTAAAATATTCCTATTTCCAATGTTTCCACCAAGTTCGATGAAATTTAAACTATTATTCATCGAAATCAACGACAATCTTTTGTATATATCTACCAAAGGCAATTTTAGCTTATCATATTTTGGTAAATTTACTTCTAACCTGAAAGGTTGGTAACAAGGGACTGAACTCGCATATACACGTAAAAGGATGAACTTAAAAGTTTAGGGTAAGCCTAGTTTATGCATTTAACAGGAAATGTCCGAGACCATATTTGGTTTTTTTTTCTGAATGAACAAGGTCGTTATATCCAGGAAGACGATGACCAAAACGATGCCAACAATGATGACGACTCCGAGCCATCCGATACCAGCAGCAGACGTTCTCGTGTCCGCGGCGCTCACCTTCTTCAGCCGGTATGACGTCAAATCTGTCTTCTTAACGACCAGTTGGGCCTTCAACTTATTCAAAATTTTCCTGAGCTCTTCGATTGCAGAGCTATTTTCAGACTCCAGTATGTCTTGTATGGTGGTGTTTCCCCAAATAATGCTTGAGCAGTTACAGCAGCTGGCATTGTGAGTAGTGGCTACGTCTGTAGTAAAATATGCACCAAGAATAGAAATGCTAGCACGAAGAAAAGTTTGTTTTTTTTTCAGAATGAGTGACCTTTTATTTCAGTGATATCTGTGAACGACGGCTTTAGTGTTCGAATATGTATCACATCAAATAAAAAATATCATATTCATCTCTGTAACCAGTATATAATGTTACATTTATCAATTCTCACTTACCGGAAGTATAGACCGTACTCAAATCTGGGGAGGATGTATGGCTCGTGGTACCTGTTGAGGTATCTGTGCTCACATCCGGGGAAGTTGCGATGCCTGCAGAGTTGTCTGTATGTTCATCCGGAGAAGTTGTTGTGGCTGTGGCACCTGCAGAGGTGTCTGTCTGTACATCCGGAGAAGTTGTTGTGGCTGTGGCGCATGCAGAGTTGTCTGTATGTTCATCCGGAGAAGTTGTTGTGGCCGTGGCACCTGCAGAGGTGTCTGTTTGTACATCCGGAGAAGTTGTTGTTGTGGTTTCTGCAGGGGTGTCTGTCTGTTCATCCGGAGAAGTTGTTGTGGTATCTGCAGGGGTGTCTGTATGTTCATCCGGAGAAGTTGTGTTTATGGTATCTGTAGGGGTGTCTGTCTGTTCATCCGGAGAAGTTGTTGTGGTATCTGCAGGGATGTATGTATGTTCTTTTACAGGGAATCATTGGTCAGTGATTTTTTGCCCCAATCAAATCAATAAATGATAATATAAATATTCTTTTATGACCAGACTTAAATTCATCCAACATGCTAAACATACAAATGCTTATTTCAGCTTGAATAATACACATCAACCCAACATTTCTTTTAAATTAATGAGAGCAATTATAGGACCATATACTTAAACGAGATCACATAAGTAGGCCATGCACACGCTTGTTTATAAGTAATGATTCAACAGTACTTACTATAAGATTCCTGTATCACTAGAACGTCAGCAAACTGGTGCCGTGTGTCTGGCAAATAAACAAATATCTGAAGTGATCAACTACAAAATCATATCCAGTTGAAAAAAAAACAAGCAAATTCATGGAATTTATATCCCCCGCTATGCAAACATATTGTAAGTAAATATTTTAGAGGTGAGGAGTAAAAATGTCATAAAGCTATGTAGAATGATATATTCTCTTGAGCTATGATGTATTGTTTTAAAGCCAAAGAAAGATGTAAAGGATTATAGAGAGTAGATGTATTATTGGACATATCAAATATTATCCTCATTTGTATGCATAATTATTAACAGATGACGCTGATAGTCAAACTCAGTGTTAATGACCCCAAGATGCAAATGCTGACCAAGTTTTACCCAAATTGGATGATATTTGGGGAAGTCAGAACACGGAAACGAAAGTGTGACAGACAGACGGATGGACAGACGGACGGACGGACTAAACCCAAATTAATATACCCCGTTTCGGTGAAAACCAATTAAGTTTCTTCTCTGTATTGTAAAGATATAATGTAAAGTCAGGCTCCCTTTTACGTCTGATTTTGTTCATAATCTTACATTGTGTTGGTACCTTGTTAAGTGGCTTAAAATACACGAATTATAAATCTCAACGCAAATCTGCACATTCATTTGAAAGATGAGATGCTAATGTGTGGGCATTTGAATGAGGTGCTAATGCGTGGGCATTTGAAAGATGAGATGCTAATGTGTGGGCATTTGGGTGAGGTGCTAATGTGTGGCCATTGGGATGAGGTGTTCATGTGTGGATATTTGGATGAGGTGCTAATGTGTGGACATTTGGATGAGTTGCTAATGTGTGGGCATTTGGATGAGTTGCTTATGTGTGGGCATTTGCATGAGGTGCTAATGTGTGGACATTTGGATGAGTTGCTAATGTGTGGGCATTTGGGTGAGGTGCTAATGTGTGGCCATTGGGATGAGGTGTTCATGTGTGGATATTTGGATGAGGTGCTAATGTGTGGCCATTTGGATGAGTTGCTAATGTGTGGACATTTGGATGAGTTGCTTATGTGTGGGCATTTGGATGAGGTGCTAATGTGTGGGCATTTGGATGAGGTGCTAATGTGTGGACATTTGGATGAGGTGCTAATGTGTGGACATTTGGATGAGGTGCTAATGTGTGGACATTTGGATGAGTTGCTTATGTGTGGACATTTGGATGAGGTGCTAATGTGTGGGCATTTGGATGAGGTGCTAATGTGTGGACATTTGGATGAGATGCTAATGTGTGGTCATTTGAATGAGGTGTCCATGTGTGGATATTTGGATGAGGTGCTAATGTTTGGGCATTTGGATGAGGTGCTAATGTGTGGCCATTTGGATGAGGTGTTCATGTGTGGATGTTTGGATGAGGTGCTAATGTGTGGCCATTTGGATATGGTGTTCATGTGTGGATATTTGGATGAGGTGCTAATGTGTGACATTTGAATAAGGTGTTCATGTGTGGGGATTTGAAGGTAATGTGTGGACATTTGGGTGAGGTGCTTATGTGTGGGCATTTGGATGAGGTGCTAATGTGTGGACATTTGGATGAGGTGTTCATGTGTGGGCATTTGGATGAGGTGCTAATGTGTGGGCATTTGGATGAGGTGCTAATGTGTGGACATTTGGATGAGGTGCTTATGTGTGGGCATTTGGATGAGGTGCTAATGTGTGGACATTTGAATAAGGTGTTCATGTGTGGGCATTTGGATGAGGTGCTAATGTGTGGGCATTTGGATGAGGTGCTAATGTGTGGACATTTGGATGAGGTGCTAATGTGTGGGCATTTGGATGAGGTGCTAATGTGTGGGCGTTTGGATGATGTGTTCATGTGTGGGCATTTAGATGAGGTGCTAATGTGTGGGCGTTTGGATGAGGTGTTCATGTGTGGGCATTTGGATGAGGTGCTAATGTGTGGGCATTTGGATGAGGTGTTCATGTGTGGGCATTTGGATGAGGTGCTAATGTGTGGGCGTTTGGATAATGTGTTCATGTGTGGGCATTTGGATAAGGTGCTAATGTGTGGGCGTTTGGATGAGGTGTTCATGTGTGGGCATTTGGATGAGGTGCTAATGTGTGGGCATTTGGATGAGGTGCTAATGTGTGGACATTTGGATGAGATGCTAATGTGTGGTCATTTGAATGAGGTGTCCATGTGTGGATATTTGGATGAGGTGCTAATGTTTGGGCATTTGGATGAGGTGCTAATGTGTGGCCATTTGGATGAGGTGTTCATGTGTGGATGTTTGGATGAGGTGCTAATGTGTGGCCATTTGGATGAGGTGTTCATGTGTGGATATTTGGATGAGGTGCTAATGTGTGGACATTTGAATAAGGTGTTCATGTGTGGGCATTTGGATGAGGTGCTAATGTGTGGACATTTGGGTGAGGTGCTTATGTGTGGGCATTTGGATGAGGTGCTAATGTGTGGACATTTGGATGAGGTGTTCATGTGTGGATATTTGGATGAGGTGCTAATGTGTGGACATTTGAATAAGGTGTTCATGTGTGGGCATTTGGATGAGGTGCTAATGTGTGGGCATTTGGATGAGGTGCTAATGTGTGGACATTTGGATGAGGTGCTAATGTGTGGGCATTTGGATGAGGTGCTAATGTGTGGGCGTTTGGATGATGTGTTCATGTGTGGGCATTTGGATGAGGTGCTAATGTGTGGGCGTTTGGATGAGGTGTTCATGTGTGGGCATTTGGATGAGGTGCTAATGTGTGGGCATTTGGATGAGGTGTTCATGTGTGGGCATTTGGATGAGGTGCTAATGTGTGGGCGTTTGGATAATGTGTTCATGTGTGGGCATTTGGATAAGGTGCTAATGTGTGGGCGTTTGGATGAGGTGTTCATGTGTGGGCATTTGGATGAGGTGTTCATGTGTGGGCATTTGGATGAGGTGCTAATGTTTGGGCATTTGGATGAGGTGCTAATGTGTGGGCGTTTGGATGATGTGTTCATGTGTGGGCATTTGGATAAGGTGCTAATGTGTGGGCGTTTGGATGAGGTGTTCATGTGTGGGCATTTGGTGGCCGCTCATGTTAAATTTATTTTCATTGTTGTAAGTTCATGATTATTAAACTTTGAAATTTGATTTCATAATAACAGGAAAAAGTCGATAAAGTAGGTCACAGTGACATAACTTATTTCAGGTTTATTCCGAGATATAAAAAAAAAGTTAACCAAATATTCAGTTGCTAAAACTGGTGACTTTTGTATACTGCGGTATTTTTGAAACGCGAAACAATTCTCAGCAATTCGGTTGTCAAAACCTCCTTTCTTCATCTAAAGAAATGATACACTTTCCGAAGGTTTACCCTGTCCAAGTTAAAATCTGTACAATGTAGTTCTAAAAGGATAACATAAGGTTCCCTTGGGGTCGGGCATAATACCTTTAAAGATATCTACATGTTCAGTCATCATTTAGCATTTCTAGAAAAAAAAGTAAAGAATTTCTGCATAATCTGAGATTTAAATCTTCAATTCAAGAAACGTGAAAGATTATACTGGTCAAAATCTAATAACAGGTGCGGAAAATGGTGTTTCTTGATAATTTACGAGAAGATGTTACCTTTCGGCGAGGTCTATTTTGTGACTCATTAAAAGAACTTTCGTTCCCTACCACTGTATTTACATATATCCAACATCTTTAAATTTTAGCATTAAAACACCACGTGCTGTCCCTTGCTTCTAAAAATACCTTTTCCAAGAACGTTAGGGGTATTATGGAATCATAACGTCCGTTCGTCTATCTGTACAGCTCCCCCTAGTTTTCGACAAAACTTTATTAAGAATGTACTCCTTTGACGTTTGACCGGAAGTAAGACAAAATTCAGAATAAAATGAATTCCAGCATTATGATTCGGTTAAAAGCGTCAACAATTTCTGGTTGCTAAGGTTACTCACTTGACTTTTACATCCGGAAATCTTCCGTAGATTTCAACTAAATTTCGCATGAATTATCACCACAAATCACAGATTTCAAATTGTTGGACCACTTCCCCGGATGTTTAGGACACGAAAGCAAATAATTTATCTGGTTTCTTGATCGTAGAAAAAAACTTTTGAAACCTTTTCTCTATCTAAACATAAAGCCTTAACAAGCAGAATACGTAAATACAAGAAGATGGTGAAATAGAGGATTTAAGATATTTTGGAACGTTTTCATTTTTTGCAGTTTGCAGTTCATTAAACCAAATGCTTTTCTTCATATCCAAGTATCATATCCTTATCTTGTAATGAAAGACGAGAATTTATTTGAAAAAAGATATTTAGGAACATAATAAGGGAAATATTTGAAAATGAATAACTTCATATCACACAAATTCTGACGCCTGTGCTGTAAAAAAGCAGTGCGGTAACATATTTTTTTGAAATTACTTTCTAAAGCAAACCTTCAAAAATTGTTATCAGAAAAAAATATTACTAGAATTTTTATATTACTCCGAGGAGTACACCCTTAAACTCCGTGGATGTAGTCACCATACACTGATGTTGTGCACATTGTCTTATTTTTGGAACCGCCTTTGTCTAAAGACGTAAGCTTGTCGGATCATGGGCTATTTCTTTAACTTTTTACTGGTCCAATTCTGATCTGGTTAGTGTATGGAAGAATTTGAAAGTTTTGATATTATAGAACTAGCTTGCTCCAAAGATGATAACGACTTGACTAATATACATTCAGACAGCCAGCTTGGGAGAAGGTGTTAGACATATTCATTTTGGTCTGTAATAATTCTTTTGAAAGGGAGACTTTGAGCTGGATAGCTGGAATACTCATACTTGGGTCATTATACCACTGAAATATGGTAGTTTGAAAGCTGAAATTTGCACACGACAATCACATCACAGAAATTTTGTAGTTTGAAAGCTGAGAGTTTTCATAGGACAGTAAGTATATCACAAAAGATATTATGAATGCTGAAATTTTCGCATAAATTATGATTAAAATGCTGATATACTTACATAAAAACCAAAACATGATTTTAATCTTTGTTCTATGTGATTCCTCTGATGTGATCAACTCTATTTCCTTCACACATCCTTGGGCATCATCGACTTCAAACGTTTGTATTGGCTCCTGTAAAATGTTTTATGTTTAATTGTTATTGCGTTTAGAGTTTTAAGTATCGTTAATTCCAGAGTTTCTGAAAATAATTTCAAAATCGTTACATTTGTCTTAAGTTTTTTCCTTAACCCAGACGTTTGCCATAACCAACAACCCACATTGTAATTAATTCCAATGGTGGCATGGTTCATTATGCAAAAGAATAAATTTCTTCTAAAAGTAATCAGATGTATGAGCAATTATTAGGCCCTCAGCATTAATGACGAGTCCTAGAACCACGAAAGTGTATGATGCCATTTAATTTATTATTTAATTCTACTGAATCTAACCCAAATCTGTAATAACAGGTACTAATCACTTTTACAGAATGTAAAAATAAATCATTATTGAATATTTGGATTTTTGATATATATTTTGACCAATTTTCATTCTCCAGTCGCCTCCTAGATTGAACAATTTAGGCCCTAAGCTAAGA